AGGACCCCGACCTGAGGCAGGAGCTGGCCTCGCTGGCCCGCGGCTGCGACTTTGTCCTGCCCTCCCGCTTCAAGAAGAGGCTCAAGGCCTTCCAGCAGGTGCGGCGCGTCCTGTGCCTGCTTGTGGCTGCTCGTCTCGTCCCTCGCCGTCCCGGGAGGTCAGGTCGGGGGCGGGGGCTGCTCGTGCGGGGCTCACTGCTGGGGGTGCTCACCCCCCTGGTGTTCCTCCCAGAACAGCACCCACAGTGTGAGGAGGTCCCCAGTGAAGCTTCCTGGGGTGGTTTTTGTTTGTTTTTTAAAAGAGCTCCACTGTCCCCTCTCCTGTGTTTTAGCGGCTGGTACCGCCGTGGGCTGGGAACTGACTTCAGGGTGGGCTAGGGCTGTCGGTAGGCAGGCTGTGACCGCACAGGAGCTTGAACTGTCAGTGCCGGGACCCTGCCCTTTGTAGGGGCCTGAGCGTGGCTCTCCCCACGGTTACTGAGCGGAGTCTTCTGTGTGATGCCTTAGCTTTGTCGGAATGGACACGATTCCCTGTACCCCAGCTTTACTGCGATGGGCAGCACTGTGCTATGAGTGATGTGTTTTTAGGGGGATTTACGAGATATCCACACACCGTACCAACCGGAGTACACAGACCCGTGGTTTTAGGAACTAATTGGCCTTTAAACCCGTAAGCACTCAGAGAGGTGTGTGTCTCCGTTTCCATATGTGGCACATGGTTCATGACTTAGTTTAACAGGACCACATACTGTAAAAGTGGGAGGCTTCCCGTGACCACTGTGGAATCAGTTTGTGGCTGGAGTTTTCTCTGTGGTGCGGCCTCCCCCCCCCTCACCCTGAGGTGGTGGCGGCCGGGGGGCTGGGGGCCTGGGGGCCGGGCACAGGGCAGGCTCAGCGTCTGCCAAGACTGCACATTAACATCACGTCGTGGCCTAAAAAAGGTCCCGTTCTATCAGACCCTGGTGCTCAGGGTAGACAAGGACCTTTTTGCTGATACTTAACTGGAGTTTGTTCTGGGATCACGATTCAGCTTTTACACACTTCTGAGTTTCTGCATTTGTCCCCTGTGCTCCCCTCTCCGCAATGTTGTCTGCACGTGGGTCGGGGTTGTCGTTGGCTCCTCGTTTTTAGGGAAGGCCTATGTGAGCGCATCTTCACTTAGACGTGGAGTCACGAGGTGTGATCATGAACTAACCCCCTCAGCAGGAAGTTGTCTCAGGTCACAGAGGATGGGCTTCAACAGTGTTTTCAGGGAAGACACTGTGTTATGTACAGCGAGAGTTCCCTAAGGTGAGAGACAAATCAGGGGCCGTCGGGGTAGGACTTTTGTGGCGTCTCCACCCCAGTGTGTTTCAGGGTGGATGCCCGACATGGCCTGGGTGGGACGGGGAGATGGGGCGGCAGGAGATGATGGAGCTCGAGGGTGACAGTGGGGGGCGGTGTTTCAGATGTGACAGTTGCTCTGCCATGGCCTGGCCACTGGACAGCCCTGGCCTCATCTTTTTGAGGCAGCCAGAACTGCTCAGCCTGCCTCCCTGTCATCTGAGGGCTTCCTCTCCATCCCCCTCTGGCTTCTTAGAGCTCAGACACCCCAGGACACCTCTCCGGGTCTCTGTCATCTCGGAGCCAGGCTCTCTCCTGTGGTGGATAGGGGACCTTCAAACAAACGTTGCCACGGCCCAGCTTTCTCATCTTTATTTCTGGCTCCTCTGTTTTATTCGTTGACCCATTGACTCTGTTTGGCCATCCCATGTTTGACAGCTGGTGTGGAGAGGACCGAGGAGCCCAGGAGAAAGCCCCTGGCCTGTAGGGCCTCCCATGGGGGTGGGAGGGGACATGTCCCTGTGAGCACTGAACTCGCCTGGAATCCTCATGCTGCTGTGTGGAGCTACCCGGTCAGGTCTGGTCTCAGGTGGGCGTCCACCCTGGGAAACCGAGGAGGTTCTCAGCCTGTGCCCAGTGTAGCTTTGCTTGGCCTGCTGGGTCCCCTCCCATGTGCTCCTCCTGCATGTCCGTGTGGTTGGGGTTGGAATGAGGTCATTTCCTGTGTCCCAGCACGTGCCCTCTGACCCCTCGGATACCTGGCCTCTGAGGCTGGTGTTTAGAGAAGTGTTTCTGTGGACACCACCTAGGCTGACTTCTCATGGACCTTTCCTGCTCTCCTGGCATCAGTCCCTCCGCAAACACACACAGGTTGTTTTACGTGAGACTTGTTTATAGTGGATCTGGATGTGTCTGCACACTGTGTGTGGGGGGGAGGCCCATGGGCATGTCTGCCATTCCTGGGATGGTGACGGGTCAGAAATAGCTCTGTGCGAGCAGAGTGTCGTCTTCATCGTTGCCCTGGTGACAGCCCTAGGCCATGTCGGATGCATGTTGAGTGGGGGCTGAGGTGCAGCGCCTGGGAGCCAAACACCTCAGCCCTGGCTGGTTTCCCTTCCTCTGAGGCCCTAGGCCTGCTTTAGAGCTCTGACACTGCACACACGTGCACACACACGTGCACACAAATGCGCACGAATACAGTGTGCTATTTTTGCTGCCGTCACCAATGTGCAGCCCGACCATCGTGGTTGGGGAGCACTGTCTGCTGTCCCTCACAATGTGCTGAGCCCCATGGCCCAGCCGGGTGGTGGCCGGCTCCCAGCTCTGCCCCTCGAGCTACAGAAGCATGTGTCCTGAGCTGTGCTGGGCCGTGGTCTATTTATGTTCAGAGAGTAGGCTGTAAATCTCCTGTGTCCACACGGCCTGTTTGTTTCTCATGCCGTCAGCTCTGCTAGGTGCTGGGGAGCTGGGCTCGGCCTCCCTCTCTGCTGGATTTCGGCATTTCCCACCAGCGTCTGCCCTCTGGGCTGAGGCACGGGCCGCTCAGGGTGGTCACAGCTTCCACCACCCACCTCTCAGCATGCTGCGGTGACTCGTTAGTCACACCCGAGTCTCCCACCTGTTCTGTGGACGTTACTATACAGATGCTCCTCGGCTTACGATGGGGTTATGCACCCATAAAGCCGCCATACGTTGAAAGTATCGTGAGCTGAAAATGCACTTAATATACCGAACCCACCAAACATAGCCGGGCTGGTTTGTACTGAATGCGAATGGCTTTCACACCATCGTAAAGGTGAAAGATCCCAAGTCCAGCTCTGGTGAGTCCCGTCAGCATGAATTGGGACGTCCACACACGCGCTCCACCGGCTTTCTCCTTGCCGCTGTTTGCCTGCGGTCTTTATGAGTCCTTTAAAATTTTTTCAGCCTGTGTCCTTGTACGTCTCTCACAAATAAATGTTACCTTTTCAGTTTGATCTTTGTCTCTTAACTGGAGTGTTAGTCCGTTTACATTTATTGTCACTGTTGATCCATTTTCCCTCGTCTTCAGTGTTCCTTTGTTTCTTTTTACCCCCTCCCTCCTTGCCTCCCCTCTGTGTGTCCTCTCCCAGCTCGGAGTGTTACCCTCTCTCCCAGCCTACTGCTTATCCTGCAAACATCAACCGCTAGTGTTTGTAAGCACAACTGAAGTATCTACCCATTCATTTACATGCCGTCGTTGTTATCGTGAGAGGGCTTATAGCAGAATTAGAGTGACCTTCTCATGACTGGTTTATGGGGTCATGGTGTCTAGATTGACCCCCGTCTCTCAGCCTCCTGACCCTCTATCCCTCTGCAGTTCACACCTCCCCCTGGGGAACCCTTGCTCCTGCCGGAGGTACTTCCTCAGCATGTCCCTGAGTGAGTGTCTGCTAGCGGCACTCGCTCTTGTTTTGTTTGTCTGTTTTTTCCCTAGTGTAAACCCTTCAGAGTTACTCTTATGTGACTTCCCAGGAGGTAGGGTTCTAGGTGCGCATCTTTCCTTCCGGCTTCCTGTACCTGTCGTTTCTGCTGAAAAGCTGGCTGCAGGTCTGACTGTTTGCTCCTTGGAGTTACCCCCTTTTGTTTTGTTTTATTGTGGCCGCTTTGGAAAATCTGCTGCCTGTCAGGTGTGGGCCTAAGTGTGGGTCTCACTGTCCTGCATCAGGTGTGGCTCTCGCTTCCCTGCGTCAGGTTGTCCCTCTTGGCGCCTTGTTTTCCTGTGTGTTTGGTGATTTTTGACCATGAACCGCTTATTTTCATTAGAACTTGGGGACTTTTTTGGTCCTGAGGTGTGGGTCAGGATAGGGGGGACAGATACAGGTAGGGTCCTGGTGGGAGTGTGCATTGTTGCCTGTGGAGGCTGGTGACCTGGGGTGATGATTCCTGCGCAGGGGCAAAGGGTGGGGTCAACTGTGTGTTGGGGGAAGGGACATGTAACACCCATCCAGGGCATCTTTCCTGCTGGGGCCTGGGTGTGGCTGAGGTGCCTGCCTGCAGAGGGATGTTGAGAAAGACAGAAACCTGCAGTGTGTGCCTGAGGCCTCGCAGGCCTTGGAGACTCCGGAGGTCCAGCCCTTTAGCTGCTCCCCCTGCCTGGGTGCCCTCCTCCCTCCTCCCCTCGCCCTCCATCAGATCCCCTGTGGCAGAGGTGGCCCTCTCAGTTCCTTGTGTTCCCATCTCCTGATGTGTCTCGGTTTTCTTCTCTGACGTTTTTGCTGTTCCCGGACAGTATGCTGGGGTCGCCTGGGTACCCAGGCTGTCCCCTCTCCGCAGGGCCCCGTCCAGGTCCCCTCCCCTCTGAGTGGGCCCTTGTGTGGGGTGGGATAAAGAGGCCCCCTCAGGTTGTAGAAGCAGGGTGCACTGAGCCGACTGATTGGCCGTGTGTGTCCTGGTCAGTGGATGGTTTGCACTCCTGCATTCTGTGTGGGGTGAGCGCTCAGTAAGGGTGCTGAGTGGTATGAGCCCCTCCGTGCGTAGAGAGCCTGTCCCCTCAGCTGTGCTGGCTGTGCGGGCGCCCTGCAGGTGTGGTCCCCACACGCCCCTTTCCGGTCATCATGGGCCCTCCTCTTGTTCAGTGTGTGCCTCTCCCACAGGCTCCTGTTGCTGGTTCCCTGGTCCTGCTGTGTGTATGCTTTGAAGTTCCCACACCTTGTGTACGGGGGGGTGAGCCCCTCGTGCTCTACCTCCTGAGTGTGCTACGGGACTCCCCAGCCGCCGCCAGCCCCGCTCCCCGTGGCCTCAGGCACCAGCTTTTCACCCCTGGGTCTAGCACTTCCCGCTAGGAGGCTGGCTGTTCCTGCTGTGTTCACCCGTGGTGTCATGTCTAGAACACAGGGTGTGCAGTGGAGACGCATCCCCAGGCTGCATGGTGCTCCTCTGTCACTGCCAGTGGGGACGGCCAGATGCATAGCTCTTGGTGGCCCTATGTGAGCCATGGCCTCAGGGAGCTGTTTCCAGCACAGCAGGCCTGTGGGGTCAGCAGAGAGAGACAGTGTTTGGTCCCCTGGGGAGACAGAGCCCTACAGTGCTGGGAACAGCGAGGTCATTGACCAGGGCACAAGGAGCCTGGTTCTCCTGCTCCAAACCCACCCGGTGCCAGCTCCTGGCTGAAGTCCTGCAGGCGTTTCTTCTTTCTGTTAATGCTCACCCAAGGATATTTATTCCGTGGATTTTCAGAGAGAATGAGAGGGAGGGAGGGAGGGAGGGAGAAATATCTATGTGAGAGGGACACATCTATTGGTTGCCTTCCATAGGCACCCTGACTGGGGCCAGGGATGAAGCCTGCAACCCAGGTAATGTGCCCTTGACAAGGAATCGAACCCAGGACCTTTCAGTCCTCGGGATGATGCTTTAACCACTGAGCCACACCGGCCAGGGCACCAGCAGGCATTTCCTAACGGTCCCATGAATATCAGCTCTACTAGGGCAGGTTCACAGTGCAGCCCTATTGTGTACAGAATGCACCCCTGACCTGCGACTGCAGCCGGACCAGCAGGTGAGCTCCCCAGGGATGTCCTCACACTTGGTCTGGGAAGGTGGGTCAGGAGGTCACGCAGCTCAAGGTTGGATGCTGTGGAGGTGTCGGCTCTGGCTGTGGGTGACTGGCCACACCCTGGCCCGCTACACCTCCGTTCATTACTTGTCTGCTGTTCCACATTCTGGGTAGGATAAGACCCTAGGGCGCAGGTCCTTTCTGGGGGGCCTTCTGCAGGGGGGGTGGATGCCTGCCCAGTTTTCTGGGACTTGCAGGTGTGAGAACAAGGGAGCTCAAGACAGAGGAGCCCATTGGGATTTGAGTGACCTCCCTTCCACAGCCCACCTGTGCTGAGCTGACCTCCCAGGGGAGCTACGGTGCAGGGACCATGCTGGCAGCCTTGGTAGCAGCTGTCCCTTCCCTGGGATCCCACCTAAGCAGGATGGCAGGAGACTCAACACGTGACTCTCTTGGTGTGTCACCTCCTGCATGTGTCACCTCCCGGGTGCGTGGCTTGAGACGAGTCAGCCTTCAGGACAGTCGGGAGTTCTCTGTGCAGACTCAGGGCAGGTGGGCTGGAAGCGCTCACATCTAGATGAATTCCACGCCCTCCCACTCTGCACTAGTGCGGAGAAACTGTCAGTGTCCTGGGTTCTAACCAGGATGTCACCTATCTCCCTTCCCAGGTCCAGAGGAAGAAGGAAGAGCCCCGGCCGCCGGCCACCAGCCAGAGCATCCCCACCTTCTACTTCCCTCGTGGCCGGCCACAGGACACGGTGAGCACGGATGCTGTCATCGCCAGGATCGAGAGGACATTCGCCCAGTTCCCGCACGAGCGGGCCACCATGGAGGACATGGGCACGGTAGCCAAGGTGGGCGTCCTGGGTGAGCAAACGAGTGCGTTTCTCTGGGTGCCTTCATCCTCGTGATCCGAGCGTGGGCTCCCATCCCCACCCTCTCCACGTCTTCAAAATCAGACACACGGGGCCTTGCATTACTTTTTACCCTGAATATTGGGGGACAGATGCAGCTGTGTCACCTCCTGGATGTAGCGAAGGTTAGAATTTGTATCTTTTAGGGACTGGTCCCCAGGTTCTGCCCCGACTTCCGCCAGCCCTGTGTGCACCCCTGACCCTTGTCCCTCCCTGCCCGTCCAGAGCTCTGGGCGGATGAATGTGGACACTCCCTCTGTGTGATTTTAACTGCAGCCGATGCCACACTGCACGCGTTGTCTCGGCGGGGGGGCCATGGCTGAGATTCAGCTCTCCTCAGGACAGCTGGTGGCTGTGGTGGGTACTCTGCAGTGTGGCGTGTGTGTGTCATTACTCGCTCTGTCCGAGCATCCTTGGGACCTTCTTAAGCAGGGCTGCCGGATCCTAGGGTGACCTCACGCCCATGGGATCTTGTGGTCACATCCCCCTAGGGCCTTGCCCCATTTTTTCCATCAGCCTGTGGGTGAGTCACATACGGGCTCCAGCAGGCGTGTCCCCAGGCGTCTGGAGTTTCCCTCACATAGGTGGGTCCTGGCACTTGGCGAACCCTGGTCAGCATTTCTCTGAGAAATCTCTCATGCCTGTGAGGGGAGAGCTGCGTGTACGTGCTGTGTGTCCAGGTACTCTTGCCCGTGTGGTGCAAGGTGAAGTCAGTGGGTCATTCTGGTTCATCACTTCCACCATCTCCTGTGGCACAGGCTGACAGAGGGGTTCCCCTGTGCCCTGTCCCCACCCGCCCAGCCGGCCACTCCGGGTGCGTCTTCCACACGAGAACGCGTCCTCTGTCTACACGTATTGCATTACATAGGATTTTGGCTCTGCAGTCATTTTTTATTTACATTTTTTCTAAAACAACAGCTGCGTAGTTGATCCATTTATTATGTGAAGCTTTTCCTCATCGTTGTGATTTTTTAATCTTAATGAAATCTGCGCATATGACCCTCTTTTCCTGGGGTCATTTGTTTCTGCTCCTTTGCACCAGTCGTGCTGGAGACTGTTACCTTGTTTGGGTACGCACCTGTCGGCTTCCGGGGTTCCTTTAGTTCTTTGTCTCTCATGCCCCACCTTTGTTAATTTCTTACACACTTTTCTCTTCCCTCTCTTTCTACCTCCTCGAGTGGGACGGTTACATCTTTGCTTCCGTAAGGTTTATTGGGATGTAATTTCTATACAGCAAGGTGGCCACTTTTAAGTATACAGGTGGTGTGTTTTAATAAACACACCGCCCCCTCCGTGTGTCCACCCTGAAGTCGAGGAAGGGGACACATCCGTCCCTGAGGAAGGGGACATGTCCATTCCCCACGTTCTCTGTGCCTCGTGTGCTCCCCGCCCTGTGTGCACGGTCCCTCCCCTCAGGCCCGCCCAGCTCAGCTGTGTCAGCTCTCCACCCTGCATTTTCCTTTCTGGACTCTCATGTTGGGATCGTGCCGTGTGCAGATTGGAGTCTGGCTGCTCCCTCAGAGCGTAATTGTGATGCTCCTGCAGGTCCTTTAATGCCCAGGAGTGATCTGTGGGGCACAACCGTGGTCCATCTCCAGGAGCACTCATTGGTTTCTAGCTTTTTATTTTTGTTTCATTTTATTGATTTCCAGAGAGAGGGAGAGACATTGATTTGCTGTTCCACTTACTGATGCATTCACTGGTTGATTCTTGTATGAGCCCTGACGGGATCGAAGCCACAACCTTGGCGTATGCGGACGACGGTCCAGCCAACTGAGCCACCTGGCCAGGGCTGTTTCCAGTTTTTGTCTTGGGATTAAGCTTCCCTGTACGTTGGTCTGAAGACTTGGGGTCACACATGTGTTCCCTGGGGTGATAAATACCTCAGAGGAAACTGCTGGGTCGTCTGGTGACCGCGTGTCTAATTTTACAAGATGCTGCGGTGAGGTTTTCCAGAGCGGCTTCTCCCCAGCGCCTGCTGGGCCTGCGGCGGGAGGGGCCAGCTGCCCTGGGATGCGGGGCACTTGCTGCTGTCACTCCCTGTAGCCACGCGGGTGTGCGCAGAGCGGTCTCGCTGTGGCTTCCTGTTCGCTCCCAAGGGTCACGTGGAGCCCGCCGTGTGTTTACTTCTTATCGGTGTATCGTTTCCCTGTTTGGCAGCATCCTGAGGTACAGTGGAGGGCGACCAACAGCACATGGTTCCTGTGTACAGTTACACGGGTGACGTGCGTGTCCCGTGGACAGCCAGCGATCTGCTGTGTACAGTTACACGGGTGACGTGCGTGTCCCGTGGACAGCCAGCGGTCTGCTGTGTACAGTTACACGGGTGACGTGCGTGTCCCGTGGACAGCCAGCGGTTTGCTGTGTACAGTTACACAGGTCACGTGCGTGTCCCGTGGACAGCCAGCGGTCTGCTGTGTACAGTTACACGGGTGATGTGCGTGTCCTGTGACACCACCAGCCCAGTTGGGATAAGCACTCGCAGCCCCTGAACACGTGCTTTGTTCCTCCCCTCTCCACCCCGCCCCGACCTGCTTCCTGTCACTGTAGGTTAGGGCCCGTTTCCTAGGATCTTACATGAACAGAGCTGTACAGTGGGAATTCTTTTATTGTGCTGAATCCACATGAAGTCCGTTGGCATTTTAACAATTTCTTTCTTTATTTTTAAATATGTTTTTATTGATTTCAGAGAGAGGAAGGGAGAGGGAGAGAGAGAGAAACATCAATGATGAGAGAGTTGTGGCTCGTCTGCCTCCTGCACGCCCCCTACTGGGGATCGAGCCCGAAACCAGACATGAGCCCTGACGGGGAATCGAACCTGTGACCTCCTGGTTCATAGGTCGATGCTCAATCACTGAGCCACGCCAGCCGGGCAGCATTTTAACCATTTAAAATGCACAGTTTAGAGATGTTTATTCCACATGCAGGGGTCACAGCCTTCACCTGTGTGCCATTCCACGACAGTCACGCATTCCCATGTGTGTCCCCTCCCCAGCCCCTGACAACACCAACGTGACCCTTCTCTGTCTGGACTTCCCGTTGTGGGCATTTCACATAAATGAATCACACACCACGTCACCTTGTGTGTTGCTTCTGCCTTTGTTCAGCGTCCACCACGCTGTAGCCTGTGTCAGAGCCTCACTCCTTTCGTGGCTGCGTAATATTCCACTGTGTGGATAGACCCCGTTGTGTTCATCCATCACACACACGTGCGCACCTAGCAGTGGAGGTGCTGGGTTATGGGGTGATTCTGACTCACTGAGCTGATTTCCAGGAGGCTGCACTGCTTTGAGTCCCTACCAGCGGGTGTGAGGGTCCCCTGCTCCCCACACTCACACCCCTGCTGTTCANTGTGCGTGTCCTGTGACACCACCAGCCCAGTTGGGATAAGCACTCGCAGCCCCTGAATGCGTGCTTTGTTCCTCCCCTCTCCACCCCGCCCCGACCTGCTTCCTGTCACTGTAGGTTAGGGCCCGTTTCCTAGGATCTTACATGAACAGAGCTGTACAGTGGGAATTCTTTTATTGTGCTGAATCCACATGAAGTCCGTTGGCATTTTAACAATTTCTTTCTTTATTTTTAAATATGTTTTTATTGATTTCAGAGAGAGGAAGGGAGAGGGAGAGAGAGAGAAACATCAATGATGAGAGAGTTGTGGCTCGTCTGCCTCCTGCACGCCCCCTACTGGGGATCGAGCCCGAAACCAGACATGTGCCCTGACGGGGAATCGAACCTGTGACCTCCTGGTTCATAGGTCGATGCTCAATCACTGAGCCACGCCAGCCGGGCAGCATTTTAACCATTTAAAATGCACAGTTTAGAGATGTTTATTCCACATGCAGGGGTCACAGCCTTCACCTGTGTGCCATTCCACGACAGTCACGCATTCCCATGTGTGTCCCCTCCCCAGCCCCTGACAACACCAACGTGACCCTTCTCTGTCTGGACTTCCCGTTGTGGGCATTTCACATAAATGAATCACACACCACGTCACCTTGTGTGTTGCTTCTGCCTTTGTTCAGCGTCCACCACGCTGTAGCCTGTGTCAGAGCCTCACTCCTTTCGTGGCTGCGTAATATTCCACTGTGTGGATAGACCCCGTTGTGTTCATCCATCACACACACGTGCGCACCTAGCAGTGGAGGTGCTGGGTTATGGGGTGATTCTGACTCACTGAGCTGATTTCCAGGAGGCTGCACTGCTTTGAGTCCCTACCAGCGGGTGTGAGGGTCCCCTGCTCCCCACACTCACACCCCTGCTGTTCACTCCTTACTTGGGCCACTTGTCTCAGTTCAGCTGCTGGAACTCACACCATGGACGGAGCTGGAGCATAGTCACTGCTCTACGTGTGCAGGCTGGAGTCTGACCAGGTGCTGGCGGGTCAGGGAGGCCTCTCCTGGCTGCAGATACCCCTGCTCTCTGTGTCCTCACTTGTGGAGGGGGAGGAACTTTGGGGTCTCTTATGAGGTCACCGTCCCACTCATGGGGCTCCACCCTCACAACCGCCTCACCTCCTGTGGCCACCTCATGGCACCCTCAGGTGGGGGTCAGGATTTAGCACAGGAACTTAGGGGACATCAACACTAAGCACATCACACTGTTCTGATGGGCACGGAGACATCTCGTTGTTGTTATTTCAGTTTGCAGTTTTGTAAGGACGATGTTGAGCATTGTGGGGGAGAAGGAAACTTCCCTTTACCACGAAGGTTCTTTTCTGGTCTAAGAATCAGGCATCACACAGAATAACTAGAGAAAATAACCACATTTAAGGCTTGTGTGTGAGAACCTCACATCTACAAGAGTCAGCGCACAGGTGGAGGCTCAGAGACAGAAAGGGGACGGGTGCATAAAACGTGCCGAGGGAGGGACAGGAAGGTCCCCGATGAGAAGGGCAGGTGTTTAGTAAACAGGTCTGCTGTGCACTCAGGCAGCCTGGGAGAGGAGATCTGGGATGGTCTCCCCTGGATGAGGCCCTGCCTCAGGTTCCTCTCAGTTATTGGGGGTGGGGGCAGGAGTTTCCCCTGAGCCTGCAGCTGAAGCGGCCTGGGCTCAGAACAGTCCCCTGCGGCCACCTTGGGTGCTGGATCTGAGCCCCACAGCGTCCCCGTGGGCATTGGTCATCGTGCCCGTCCTGGGAGGACTGGCCGCTCCAGTCACCTGCCCTGTGAAAAACGAGGGGGTTTCCTTGTGCTGAGCTATTTGTGCTCTGACATGTCCCAGCAGCAGGTCCTGGAGACGTAGGTGTTGGGCACGCTTCTCCCAGCTGTGTCCCGTCCTTCATGTCCCTCACCGTGTCTGGAATGGCAAACATGTCTAATGTTGATAGAGTTGGCTCCACAGTTTCCTTGGGTAGTTCACACACTGTGTCCCGTGGGGGGGCCGTGCACACCCATGGCCACTGTGTTTCCTACTGCGTTTCTCCCGGAGGTTCATAACGCTCAGGCTGCACCCTGCGGGCTGGGCTCTGTGTTGAGTTGATTTCTGCACTGGGGTGAGGCGGGCGACCTGGTGTGTTTGTATGTGACCTTCAGACCGTTTGTGGAGATGCATGTCCCCCTCACGCTGCGTGGCCTGGGTGGCTTCACACGTATTGACCACATGTCCGGGCTCTGCTGTGTTGGGACGTGAGCCTGTCACACAGCACCTGTCCTATGAGAGGAGGTTCACAGTGACACCCATGTGGGCCCCGCTTGTCTTTGTGTCTCCTCCTCAGAGGAGATGCTCTCTTTCTCTGCATTCCCGGGCGGGGGCAGAAGCACCTCTGCTCCCACAGAGCCCTGGTTTGCATCGGGCGTGCTCCCGTGTACAGGTGGGTCTGGGAGAGGCAGGCCCTTTGCAGCATCACGTCACCGCTTAGGAGCGTTCGTGCCTCCGTCTGAGGCCTCCTCTCTGCCTCTCAGTGCTGCTCTGATNATTTGTGCCTCCATCTGAGGCCTCCTCTCTGCCTCTCAGTGCTGCTCTGATTTAGGGGCTTGCTCACTTTATGCCAGTTATGTAAAACTTCTGTTGGTTTCTTTAATGCTCACCCAAGGATGCGTTTATATTGATTTGCAGGCAGAGAGGACAGGAGAGAGACATTGATTCATTGCTTCCCGTGTGCACCATCCAGGGGTCGAACTGGAAGCCTAGGTGTGTGCCCTGACTGGGAATCGAACCCGCAGCCTTTCGGCAGACAGGGTGCCTCTCCAGCCAGCTGAGCCACACCAGCCGGTCACTGCAGCTGGTTTTTATGGGTGACTGTCTCTCTCCTGGGCCGACCCCACTCTGGTCAGATCCCTGTGTTCAGGTTGGTGGGCGTCTGGTGGACGGTCACGTCCTGTTCAGACATGGACAGTGACCTGTGTGCGGTGGCCTCGCGTCCCCCGTGCCGTCTGGGCCCCTTCGCTGGCTGGTCTGAGGGGGTCGGGGGGCTTGCACCCTGCACCCCTTCCTGGCCTTGAGGTGTGAGTCCCCGAGAGCGGGGGATGGCAGCTGCGGGCTTTTTATAGCTGCCTCGTGAGCCCTTCTGTTTCTCTCCAGCTTGCTGACCGCGCCTTCCGTCCTCACCAGCTCTCCCGTGCGTTTGCAGCACTCCCAGC